TGGTATGCTTCGTTCAGTTACGTATTACTTTCTATTCCACAATTGCTCAATTCATTGTTAATATTAATGTTTATTTTAAGTTTAAGCTTTTAACTTTATTGCGGATTATATGATATTTAACTACATTTGTCAGGTTTTTACATTGTGTATTTTACATGTGTGATTCATATTTTTGTAATTTCTAAATTTTATATGATATAGCTTATCATTAAAGCTTCTACCTGTTATCTTAAATTAATTTATTCTAAATAGTCTTATTTTTATATTATAAGTATATATATTTACTTTCGAGTGCCTATGATAGATTAGTTTTTGTTTTTTTGTGTTTTATTGTTTATTTATTATTTTAGTATTATTCAGATTTGTTGCAAATAAGTATATCCCTTTCTTTATATACATATATACTTATATATTGACTTAAATGTTTTAGCTTTACATTTTTCGATGCAAACACTGCATATATTTTTCTTAGCTTATGTTATTAAATTAAATTTTAACATTATTTTTACATGATACATTAATGTATTATATTATTATTCAATTTATATTAACTTTACGAACTATTTATTTTAAATTTTTAGTAAAAAGATAGAAAGCATTAATTGAAGGGCTTGGAACAACAAAGGTAAATCCACTTTTGAAATTTTCAGCTGATAAAAACAGTTTATTCCATGATAATCAATACTTATATTACAAATAAATTTTCTATAATTAACGATGAAAATAATACTGTGGATTGAATTGATTAACTTTTTAGACAAAGTTGTCAAAGTTAAGAAACCTATGATTTATCAGTTATTATGTGCCAAAATATTGTTTTTAATTATCTAATAGTAATTTAAAAATTTGCTCAAAATTGAAATTTTAATTTATTGAAATATTAATTACTTAGTTTAAATTGAATTATAACAAACAAGTGGCATAAAACGATTAAATTCACAAAACAAACAAATTATTATTGAAATTAGTAAAATTCATTATCAGGATTCCTTTTCCTTGTTATTTGTTAAAATACAATATTTATGTATAAAAATCATAAAACTTTAAAAAAATTAGTCATATAAATTTAACATAATAATATCATAACAACAAATCAAATCTTATGTTTATAAAAATAATAATAATAATATCACAGGATTCCTTTCCTTTATTTCTTAAAATACAATATTTATATAACAATCATATAAAACTTTTAAACAAATTGTCATATAATCTCATAATAATATCATAACAACAAATCAAAATCTTATGTTTATAAAAATAATAATAATATCAGGATTCCCTTTCTTTCCTTGTTATTTCTTAAAATACAATATTTATGTATAACAAAAAAATTATAAAAACTTTTAAACAAAATCAGTCATATAAATTTAACATAGGTAATAATATCTTAACAACAAATCAAAATCTTATGTTTGTAAGAAATAACAATAATAATATCACAGGATTCCCTTTCCTTTTTATTTTTTTTTTTGCTTGAGTTACATGAAAATATTAATAAAAAATAATGTCATCAATATTCATAATCGGATAGATCAGGATTATTATTTGTATTGTCTTCAAATTGTCTGTAGAACCACATATGTTCAGCTGGTACATATTTCACAGCTAGTTCCTGAACGTCTTTTAACTTCGCTGCTTTAATTTCAAGTGCTCTATGATACAGTGTTGGAATATTTTCAAATGGGCTTTTATTGTCAATTTTATGAAGTATGTAATGCTCTTTACCAGTAGAATTTGCAGTAATACTGCAAAATAATCCGTCTATTGAATAATCTATCTGGCGATAAGACATAATAGAAAATTTATCTTTTTTTGAGTTTGTAATGTACTTTTTAAAAAATGGTTTAAAATACTCAGAGAAATTTAAAATCATATTTTGAGTCACGTTGATGACGTAAAATTTGTTTGGGTTGGTTTCTTTTACTATTGTTTGATATGTTTGTGGCAAAAATACTCGTTCTATTTTTCGTTTTTTTTGTTCAATTAATCCAAAACAACGATCGCACGGAAGAAAACTATGTCCTGGCTCAGGATACCTCTGTGTTATATTTTCTAAGCCAAACGCTTTATACCGTATTACAGAGTAGAGGTATTGAATTATTGCATTATTTTTATTTTGCGAAGAGCAGTTATCAGAAAAAAGATAAAGGGTTTTCACTCCTTGTTGAAGTAGATTTTCTAAATAGTAATGAATAAAACTTATCACTTCATTTTGGCCCTTTTTTGCAATCGACTCGTCATACATGAAAAAATAAGCTTTGTTTTTTTTTGCCGAATATATACAAAAGTTATAAGACCAAATTTGTCTCTTGTAAAAAACGTCGCCGCATGGTACGTGAGGGAGAGGCATATTCTGCTGGTAGTCGAAAGATAATACGTCCATTTTAGGATTTTCTTTTGTTTCCAAGGATAACTTTTTAAGATCAGAATAAAATATATCAGCTTTTTTTTTATGCATTTCTTTTTCTTCAATAAGCGATAATTTTATTTCTTGGTCGATTTCTGCGTTTATCAAATTCTGTAGACGATCACACGTCTGGCAGGTATCAGATTTTGGGTTACCAAATGACAAATTAAATTTCTTATTAAAATAATCTGAAAAAAACTCGTATTTCACAATAGGTTTAACTTTTTCCCCGTTTTTTAATTTTTCTAAAATGTCTTGTTCGTGTTTTTCCAAATATAATTTGTACATTTTACTGATACTTAGTTCAGGAGACAAAAATCGCTTTTCATTATTATCGTGCCTACTATAGTGCGAAATAAGTCTTGGAAAGCTCTGGATATGTGTTTTAATTTGAAATAAAATTTGATCAGAAATTTTTGAAGGCCGGTTTGCGTGTTTTCCGCGTAGATCTTTAGGACTAGGATTATTTTGTTTTATATTTGAAGAAACTAAATCTGTTTTCAAGACTTTTAATAATTGATAATGCTAAACATCTGCAATATTTTAAATTTTTTTGTTGAATTAATAAAAGTCTTAAAGTTATAATGGTTGGTGCAACATATCCTAAAAAACAAGATTTTTCTGCTTGAATTTTATCTAGTGAAACTGCAAGCGGTTCCATAACCAAACAGTATTCTTCTAAATATGCCCATTCTTTTTTTTTCAAAAACAAAACTAAACGAACGTTCCAGCTTTCCTGGTATAACTAGTGTCACATGCCACAAACGTACATGTCATTTTATATTATAAATAATCTATTATTATTTTTTTTTTTTTTTTTTTTTTTTTTATTGATCGCAAAGAATAACATCGACAACAAAGGCCATTAGTTACAAATAAGCTTATAATTCTAAATAAGTGCTAATAATAGTAATTTTTTTTTTTTTATATAAGATTGAAAAGTTTAGTTTGTTTCAGAAACTTAATTAGGTCAAGATTTTTTTTTTGGTTGAGTCCAAGTGCAGCGTCTAGGTTGTAGGATATCTTGTGCTCGGCCCGTTCTTGGTTGAACATTAAACAGTCGGCTATTAGGTGTTTGACTGTTAACAAGGTTCCGCAGGTTTGACATATGGGGGGTTCCTCTCTTGCCATCAGGAAGCCGTGAGTAATTCTGGTGTGACCAGAACGGAGTCTATTGAGAACCGTATCTTCTTTACGGTTGAGGTTAGGATTGATCCAACGATGTATGTCTCTTTTTATTTCATTTAATTTTGTGTTTTGTATCTTCCAGATTTTTTGCCATTTATATTTTGTACGTTCATTTATGAGTTTTTTCGCGTCGTCGAATGACATTTTATTAATTAAGACGGTATCTTTGTTATTGATGGCAATTGAGGCATGTTCATCGGCTATTTCATTGCCTATTATACCCGAGTGTCCGGGTATCCACATGATAACGATATTTATACCCAGACCGGAAGCTAGATTGAGATTGTTCAGAATTTTGGATGCAATATCACCGGGATTGAAAAAATTCTGCAGACTTCTTATAGTGCTCAATGAATCGCTGAGAATGATGAATTTCGAATGAGTTTCTTGTAATATAGCCTCAATAGCCATAAGGATGGCTATAGCTTCGGCTGTGAATATGGAGCAATCCGAAGGTAGTTTGTGTATAATTTTTTTATTTGGGAATATAATCGAGAATCCTACACCTTCGTGAGTTTTTGAACCGTCAGTGTATACTTCCTGGAAGTCTTTGTAGTTACTTATAATGCTTTTAAAGAAACTTTTGAAAATATTTGGCGAGGTTTGGTGTTTGAAAAGACAGCTGAGTTCAGTATTAATTAGATATGAGCTGGCCCAAGGGGGTTGAGAAATTTTTTCTTTGGTTATAATTTGCGTTATATCAAGGTTAGTGTCTTTCATCTCTTTTATGCAGAGGGGGTTGTTTTTTTCATGAATGGTGTTATTTGATTTTGAAGATCTTGCTAAATATTTGAGATGTAATTCCAGCCTTTTTATATCGGGAATAGGTTCACCGGCGAGATTATAAATACTGTATACAGGACAACTGCGAAAAACTCCTAAAGCCAGTCCCAAACCGCAGTTATTAACTCTATCTAGCCAGTTTAGGAGGGATTTGGAGGCTGTTCTGTAAAGGGATGAGCCATAGTTAAGTTTTGATTGGATTAAAACTTTATGAATTTTAATTAGAGTGTTTGTTTCCCCACCCCAAGAGGTGTGAGAGAGAATTTTTATAATTTTGACAGAATGTCCGGAGGAGGCTTTTAAGTGTTTGATGTATGGGGACCACGATAATCGTCTGTCAAAGATAACACCAAGTATTTTTACAGAGTTTCGATGTGGAACTTCAACTTTGTCAATTGTTATTTTTAGAGCATCAACAATCTTTTTTTTTTGTGAAAATAGTACAGCTAGATTTTTCTGGAGAGAATTGGAACCCAGTTTGTTTTGCCCAATTTTCTAAATTATTTGCGGTAGTTTGAAGCAGACTTTGAACTGTGTTTTTGGATTTACTTCTGCACCAGAAGTTGAAATCATCGGCGTATAAGTTGAATTTAACAGGATGCGTACAGTTTTCTGTAATGTCATTGATAGCAATCAGGAAGAGAGAAACTGAGAGAGCAGATCCTTGAGGAACACCATTTTCTTGAATAAACTCATCGGAAAGGCAATTATTTGCTCTAACCCTGAATGTACGGTTTTCTAGAAAATTGATAATGAAGTTCAGAAAATTACCTTTGCTTACAATTTTATTGAGTTTTACTAGAATGTTATGTCTCCATGTAGAGTCATAAGCTTTAGCGATATCAAGATTTACCATGCCCATAATTTGTTGATTGTTGAATGTTTGAGTGATGTCTTCTTTGATTTCGATAAGATTGTCTATAGTGCTTCGGTTTTTTCTAAATCCGTTCTGATGTGGGGAGAAGAAGGACTGTTTTTCTAAAAGCCAGTTAAGTCTGTGGTTTATAATTTTTTCAAGCAGCTTGCACATTGTGTTGAGTAACGTGATGGGCCTGTATCCTTCAATGCTGAATTTGTCTTTATCTGGTTTAAGGATAGGAATTACTATTCCACTCTTCCAGGTTGATGGCCATCTTCCTTCTGATAAAATTTTGTTGTAAAGAATTGCCAGTAGATCAAATGTTTTTCTTCCAAAGTTGTGAATAAATGCATAGGGAATTTGGTCGGGTCCAGGACTATTACTTTTGCATTTTTTTATGAAATAAACGATTTCTTGAGAAGTTATTGGATTGTTTAAAAGAATTTGATCGTTTAGATTCTCATTGACGGAGTTAACAATAATTGCCTTTTCACTTTATTGTTTGAATAATTTGAATTGCGTGTTGAAATTGTTGTTGCTGCTGTTCTTGTAAAAATATTCACCAAGTCTGTTTGAGATTAAATCAGAATTACTAATAAGATCGTTTGTGTTTTTGTCCACTAGGTTTATTTTGTTATTTCTACATAGACCTTTTAAGGATCTTATTTTATTCCATATAAGTTTACTGTCTACTTTATCGTTAATGCTGCTAGTAAATTTTTCCCAGGAAGTTTTTTTGCTTATTTTAATAAGGTATTTTGATTTGGCTCTGAGATGTTTAAGAATTATAAAATCATCCGAGCTATTTGTTTTTTTGAATGTTTTTAAGGCTTCCTTTTTGGCTAATAAAGCATCTTTAATGTGTTGGTTCCACCAAGGAACTTTGGGTTTTTGCTTTTTTGTTTTGAATTTTCCAATTGTTAAGTTACCAGAGTTTATTATGTGACTTGTGAGGGTTTCTGTTCGCTGGTTTATACTTAATTTTTCTGGATTTTTTATTTTTGATATTTCTGTTTCAAGGAATTCAGTGAAAAGGGGCCAATCTGGGTTTTTTAGATTCCATCTTTCAGTCGAATTACAAGTATCATTGTGCCGAGAAAAAATTTGAATCAGAATGGGAAAATGATCACTGCTGGTGAGATTCGGTAGTACGTTCCATTCAGTACGCTGTGCCAGACTTGCGTTGGAGAATGACAGGTCTATGCACGAAAGTTCACCGTTTATAGGGTTAATTCGAGTTGGTTCAAGGTTGTTAAGAAGTACAAGATGTTCATTTTCTAACATTTTTTCAATTTCTTTTCCTCTATTATCGGTTTTTATTGAACCCCACTCAGTGCTGTGGCTATTAAAATCTCCTGACATTATGAATGGTTTGGGAATTTGATATAATATGTTTTCAATGTCATTTTTGTTAAAAATGTGCTGGTTAGGAAGGTATATGTTACAAATGTTAAGTTCCATGTCATTCAGTTTAATGGAGGCTGCTACAACTTCTAAGTGTGAAGTTATGTTAATTATCTTACTAGGCAAATCTGATTTTATGTATATAGCTACACCACCGCTTGCACGAAGACCATCAGTTCTGTCAAATCTGTATTCTTTGTAGTTATTTAGAGTGCCCGTGTTTAAGTTGCTGAAATTAGTTTCTTGTAAACATATGATTTCTGGATTGTGTTCGGAGATTAGTAATTTTAGTTCATCCAGTTTTCTATAAAATCCGTTTAAATTCCATTGAAGAATTTTTATGTTTTTTGATTTCATCTTGATATTTTGAAGAAGTTTTAATGAGTAGATTATTGATTTATTTGATTCTGTTAGGCGCGTGTAGGATGAGCTTTAGGCTTTTATTAATTTTTATTCAATTTGGGGAGGCTCAGCAGTTAGAGCTTTGTCGAGAAGTGCATTGCAAAGTCTCGTCATTCTGTTTTTTAGGCTTGGAATATTAATTTTAGGCTTGATTATCTCTATGACTTCAATCATTTCCAAACATGTAATGTTGAACGGTTCGAGTACTGGGGCAGGATTGGGAACACCAAGCGTGTTTTCAATTATAAACTTGAATTGATTGTAATTTATTTTTTTGTTCGGTATTTCCTCAAATCTGCTTTTAATGGGCTCGAGTGTTTCATCGAGCTGTAAAACAAGATTTTCGATGGATTTATTTCGTTTTATTTTTTTTAAAGCCGGTTGAGATGTTTTATTAGGTATTGAGTTTGAGATAGTGGGAGGAATTTCTTTTGAGATCGTATCATGTGGTGGTGATTTAAGGGATGGCGAATCGGGTGTTAAACTTGATGATATCGATGAAAGTGCTGGTCTTTTCGTCTGGTTGGTTGTATTAGGAATCAGAGATATACTATCCTCTTGGGTTATATCCATAAGTACCGGATCATCTAGCAAGGCAGGTTGAATAGTGGTTGGAACAGTGCTGTTCGCATTAGAGTAGGCCATTGGTTCGGAGAGTGTATTGCACATGGGTTTATTGTGTACTATAATATCATCGGTGATATTGGAGTTGCTTATATAGTTTGTATAATCTTGGGAATCGTTTATCTTGGTTTTTGGAGCTTCTGACGGAGGATTTTTGCACTGTTTTGAGGTGTGTCCCTTGAGTTTGCATAAATAACAAGAAAGAGTATCATCGGAGAAAAAAATTCTGTGGGGAGTGTTTTCATGCATAATCAGGCCGGAGTTTGGTAATTTTTGGAAATCGTCGGGATTTATGTAAACTTGTCGTCTGAAGCTAAGGATATGAGCAAGTTCTGGAATGTTGAATCCCGCATTGACGTGAGTGATCGGGGATACTATTTGTATGTTGTGTTCTTTTAAGAGTAATATAATGCTGTCGTTTGGTATGGCGGGTGAAACATTAGAGATTATGATCCTTTTAGCCGGGTTTATTAATCTTCTAATTTTAATTGTTGTGTGGTCGTTTAATTTGATGCTG